CCTGAGGTCTACCTCTTGCTGCCTGTTACGGTGCCTTCGCTCCTCCCGTCTTTTCTGCCTCCGTTCGCGTGCTCGACGATCATCTTCTGAGTCGGACGAGCTGGATGAGTCCGAGGGGGATGGGTCTCGAGGCCTTCCGCGATTTCCACCGTTGCCATTATTGCCGTTACCTCCCCTGCTTCCCGGCTCACTTTGTTGGCTTCTTGCCCCAAAGCGGGGAGGTACTGGGGGCTGGTTCCCTGATCCTTCCAGTCTCTCTCCGGAAATGCTAGGGGGGTTCTGTGGAGGTTGGGGGGTACTACGCCTCCCCCTTCTGAGCCTTCGGGGGCTGCTGCCGTTCTATTGGCTGCTACCCGCATCTGCTCGATGATTTCCTCCAGGTTTTTCTTCGTGCCCGCAAATTGGTCTTCTATCGCAGCCTGCCTGTCCCGCTCCATCCTTTCCAGGGCAGCCGTAACCTCCGCGGGTAGCTGTACTGGGCCATCTTTTGGGAGTTGCTGGACAAAGTTGGTCAGCGCGTTTATGTGCTGATCCTGTCGTTGCTGCCTTTCCTGATGCGCCCTAGTCGCTTCGACGATTTGCCCAAGGACTTGTCCGAGGTTGCTGGTAGCGGCGGTGGATTCCGCTCGTAGCTGAGCCATGACCTGGTTGAGCTGATTGTCGCGCTCGGCTCTCTCCCCAGCGAACTTGGCGTGGAGGTCCTCGACGATCTTGGCGGTGTACTCCTGCTGCTGACGGGTGAGTTCCCTGAGTATGGGAATATCCCGCACGTGCATGCTGAGTTCCTCGATCCCACGGCTGAGCTGCTGCACCACGGGGGCTCCTTGCCGCTGGACTTCTCGCCCAATGATGTCGCCGAAAGGGTTCTCCACCTGTCGCTCCTCTACGTCCATATTGGTATCCTCGTCGTCGTCCATTACCCGAGGCTCCGAGGGCCTCTGAGTAGAGGATCTCTCTCTGATGGGGGTGACGTATGGGGAGTACTCCCTGGGGTCTGCCTGTCGCCTCCTCGCTTGCCCATATGATTCTTCCTGCCTCGTCGATGCGAAGAGGGAGCCTATCGGCACATCTCTCTCTTTCCTGTGGCGCCTCTTCGCCTGGGTTTCCAATATACCTCGATCTCTCAAGGCGATTGAGCTCTTCATGTTGTAGTCTTCCTCCGACCGTTGCTGATGAGCCCTTGACATCGCTAAGTTGCTCTAGTTTGAGCTGTGGTTGCCTTCTGCACCAGGGTTGAGCAATGAACCAGGGGGCTGGATGAGCAAGTCCGAAAGACCGTTGCGAGAGAGTGATCTTGATTGGGAAGAGTTCTGGGTAGTTAAGGATTTCGGGTTCGTGTTCCTCGAATGTAGCGGTGGTTCCTGCTTCTGTGAAGAAACCTGTATAGCGAAGGTACCCGCAGTATAGATGTTCGGCGCTTCCTCTTCGTACGATGAAGGATGTAGCGCAAAGGTAGTTATTGATGGCTGCTGTTGCCACTCGGGGGTGCATATAGTACCTTGGTCTTTCTAATAGACTAAACGCTTATTCTTCTACTGAGAGCACGGTGACTATCCGCCACTAAGCAAAATACTCGGAGTATTGGTTTAAGCGAGTAGTTGTCTTATCGAGACTTTGGTAGGTTATGCGATAGGTAGAAGGTAAAAAGTTAGGGATAAGGTACAATATAGTGTTTGGGGAGATGGCCAGTGCTAAGCGATAATTCTGTAGCGTTTAAACTGATCATATTGTAAACCGGATTCCCTTGACTTGATGGTTGATGATACCCTCAAGTCTTCGCAGAACCAAGCCCTATTTATACATGTTGGAACCTATGCCAAGGCCCGCTTTCTAATACTAACTGATACAACGATAATAGAATAAGATAATGCTCCCGAAGATAACCCAGATAGAAAAGCGCCCCCGCACAGTCCCGTCCTCCATTCTAATTCCGACACGTAACCATGAATCTTGCAATTGCCAGTCATCGGGCTGCACCACACTATTATCCTAGACCTACTTCCCTAAGTAGAACAGCCTGCAGCTGTAAGACCCGCTTCCTATTCTATTTCGGGTGAGACACCCAACAGTAAGCGTGCCGTCATAATAGTATGGGACTAGTGTGGTAACACCGCGTGCCCCCACACTTCCCGATACCTTTCTATGATTGTCCTTTCGTTACCCGACCGTCCTCGCATCACAACCCGTCACTCGTATTCCTCACTGTCCTAAGCCTCTAGAACAGTGCTTCCGTAGTTCCTGTAACAGATGGCGCACAACTTCTGATGCTGGGAAGGATAGCGACGAGTTAGCTTGTGTCCGGTTGGCTTATACATATTGCGTAGTATCATTCTCGCTCATTCTTTTCTTTGAGGGGATTACAATGGCGGTCTCTAAACACAAACTAGATTTGACAGGCTCACCCGAGTCTTCTTTCTAACCTCTCTATAGCACGCTCCTATAAAAGCAAGTTTGCTTTCTACAACGTTGTACATACATTGTGTCCAAGCTGTTTATTAGCTTGCGCAATGCGGTGGTCTTTCAGGGATATCCGAGGGGTAGGCCCGACCTTGCCAGCCTTTTCCTTCTCAATTCTCCTAATCTCCTCCGTGCGGCTCTGGGGTGTCCTATAGGTGTATTCAAGTGTCACGAGGGTTGTCTGAGACGGAGTGCGGGAGCTATAGAAAAAAAGTGCTAATGTATACAATCCAGAGGTTGAAACAGTCCGCCCCTAATACAGTCTAGACCGGCTTGCTAAATGGTCTAACTGGTCTGGCACGACAGTTTTCTCTAAATGGTCGGTCTAGTCTACACCAGAAATCGGACTAGTCCATCTGGTAATATCTGGTCTATTCGGAGAACGTATTTTCACCTGCAAAATCAGTTGGGTTCGGAGAAAATAAACTGAACATGAGAAAGCTTGGGCGAGACTAGTGCTTGAACTTATCAATAAATGGTTTTCGTACTAATATTTGAATAATCTTCAGTTATGCGGTCTAGACCGGTCCGGTCCATGAGTTTTAAAATGGTCTGGTCCAGTCCGATGCCATGTTCTGAACTAGTCTTGACCATATCAAACTCTGACACAACCGAGTCGCGGTCTATGAACTATAGGTATAGAGAGTCAATATTATAGTGAGATTCTAGGTGGATCCGTGGATCCAGTTGGGCCAATTTCGCGTACCGAAGAGAAGTATTACTAAGGTTACTGGAAGAGAAAAGGTGAAGAAGAGAAACCATACAAGAGTGAGAGCGAGGCTCCCTATATACCAAAAACGAGATCCTCCGATAACCCATCCGAATACCAATCGTGTAGAACCCAATAGAAGCCCGTATTAAAAATGCATATCAACCCATGGGAGCGCAATCGAAGCCCAAATTTTGATCTCATATGCACAGCCAAGTTTTCGAGTTTTTGCGCCATTTGAACTATGAGCCTTTCGGTACCCACCACACAGAGATAGAAAAACCTCCACCCCCCGTGGTCACCGCATCCCCGTGAGACATTTCCTTTTGATGGCCATTTGTATGGGAAGGGAAAAGGTACATCCGAGCCACCATAAAATTCACATAGGTGTGAATATGGGATAAACAGTCTCTGATGTGAAAAATTGCAGATCACTGATGTGAGGTAATGGAAGAGTGAACCTGTGTCCTGAGATTTGTTGATATGTGGTTCCGAATAACTGCATATGGTCGTATATTGAGTGAGATCCGGGGGTGGAGGTCATGAAGCGTTAGGTACGAGATGGTGTTACATGCGGGTGTAGTTAACGGTTGGTTTCAAATAGTAATAGTTGTAGTGTTTTAGGATAGTGAATCCTACCAGGATATATGTAAAAATGTAGTTGTTTCGGTGGTAGCGTCCAAAATGCGTCTAGACAGCGATACCGCATTCGAAAGTACAGCCAGGGACAGGCGCGTAATTGGTGCATGAAAAACCGCTGGATTGGAGGTTCAGTCATTGGATCTCACTTAGCTCACGGTGGGAAGTGACATACAATTAATTGATTTAATGTTCATGAATCTTGATACATGGAGGTTATGCGTTGAACGATAGTAGGTGTGAGTGATGAATCTGTCTACGAACATTCGTATAGAGGGGGCCAGGAGATACTTGCGGAGGTAGAGGGGGTGGGGGGCAGGGGGGGATGGGCGTGGGAGCGGAAGTGGAGGTGGACCCTAGGGAACAATTTCGTAACGGTAATTTACCAGAAATAGGCGGTAGCCTTCGAGGCGGTGATATATCCCTGTGGAGTACCGTGTTTATGCGTTGCGTTAGGATAACTTGAGAAAGGATTTCCGTGAAAAGGCAATAAGTAATTTTCATAAGTTGTTAAAGTACCATAAAATGTTAGTACAATTATTAAAAAAATAGAGTTCCAGGGGTTCAACCCCGACCATCCTAAGTTGTTACTCAGAATCTAATCACTTATACTATTATTTTCTTTGCTTCATTAATAGGTTTTGATCTGACCAAGTAAGCTATCATAGTAGTTACCTTTCACAAGAGGTGATCACCTTTTGCAGTAGGTAGCCAACTTTTTGGTGAGGTAGCCATCTTTTCCCCAGCTGGCACCTGATATCCATCACTGCCCAGTGATGATTATCTTTATTTTTGGTACCCTCGCTTGTTCTATCCCTTTTTGGACATAAGATCAGAATAGATAAATCATCACCCTCAGAAGCTAATCGAATTTACTGGAGGATAACTTGAGAATATATCGGCATAGTCAGGTAAATAAACACAAATTCGGAATCCAGGTCGATTTTGGACGTTTTTTGCACTAATTATCCTCCCCGCAAGGCTCACTTACCGCTGCACACCAAAAAGATTGTACCATAGGGTGGAGGAGGTAACAAGAGATTGAACGTGTCAGATGCAATGTTTATCGTGTGTCGTAAAATATGTTTATATATCTCGCGAACCACCACCGATTCTCCCCCCTGTCCCAAACCTGAGGTGCTACCTACCCCCCCTCATACGACAGCACTGCTAACACCTATCTCCCCTTCATGCCATGCAACTCCTAGGACATCCTCGACTACCCCCGCCGCTCCGGCGATGTGGGGCCTTTACTTTCGAAAGCTCATACCCTCGTGGAATGAAGGCTCGCAAAGGGGGACTGCGACACGACCGACGAGGAACGGCAGAGCCGTATGCTTGTATAAACCAATCTCCAGGATGTAAATCGCTGGTTAATTATGCTACGATAGGGGGGAAGAGATCAAGGCGCGCTGGGCGAGGGAGGGTGAGGGGACTGTGGGGATTTTGGGCTACGGGGCGGCGCGGGTTGGGTCGGAGACTGAGCCGGAGTCGGGCATGGCGGGGTAGAGGCAGGAAACGGAAACTTGGTGCTGTCGTGGGGGAAGAGCAGGAGGGCGAATGAGATGTTGGGGTGGCCGAAAAAGGTGGTGGTTGTGATGGACGAGATGGGGATGCTGGAGGGGGAGAGATAGAGGCATGTGAAGGGGAGGGGGTGAGGGGGCTTGGGTGAGGGGGCTTGGGTGATAGTTGTTAAAGAGGCCTTTTTGTTTTAAATATTTCTCCTGTTGAGATATACGAGTGACTGCCGGATGTATTTAAACCCCTCAATATGGGGAATATACTGAATCGAAACTTGAGATTCATTTCCCCATCAGAGATATTTAGCCAATGCGATAAACATGTTTTGTATAATTCATTTTACGCCAAGGTTTATGGGATTTATCGGGAATGATCCAAAATAATACGGTTTCCGGTAGATGTTTCCTACAATAATAATACATGATGCAACTTGAAGATGACTTACTTAGATATCATGGAGCTATTGCGCCTAACCCCCCCTCCTTTTCCCCTGCTGGTCTTGTTGCATCTTGCTGCAAGTATTAGCCTCCCCGTCCTCTGGCCCGCCCTCAACCTGGCCAACATTCGCCTTCCTCTGCTCTGCATACGTGGATGCTCCCGGAGCCGGCGCCTGTCACTGGCTACCAACCTTCTCCTCCTTCCCCGCCACCTCCGGCGCCATCTCCGGGGTCGCCCACGTCCGCTCTCCCAGAAATTTGTTCTCCGGAACCTCTATGACATCGGGTGGCACGGACTCCACTCCACCCACCCACCCTCTCCTTTTCCACCTGCCCTAGTGCCAACAGCTCGCTCGTTAATCTCTCGGCCCATCTATCCACCTCCACCGCATCGCCGACCATCGGGGCCTTCGTTCTCCGGGTAGCCGGCAGACGCCTTGAGATGCAGTAGCAGAGGATGTGGAAGCGGGAGATCCGCCGGGTTGGGCGTCCGCAGCGTGATGAGATTGCCGTCCTCCGTAGTAGTGTAGCCGACCAGGCCGATGAGCCTTTTAGAAAGAAAGCCGACTCGTGCTAGATAATGACATTGAGTGGGTTAGCTGACTAGATCTGTTTGGGGGGAGAAGGGGGGGGGGGGGGTTCTGTGCGTACTTTATCGCACGTCGGCGCCGAATAGGGTAATTAACAACCCATCTAGCAACGGCACAACCTCCTACATGCCCTTATCAGACAAATCGTGCTCCTGCGAGGCCAAACATATCGTATTGCCCAGCGTGTCGGTGCGTCCGTCCATGGCACTCCCGAACGCAAACGCTGTTGAACTGTCGGCTCGAGTCATTAGCTCAGTCAGTAGTGAGCCGGGGCTTCAGTGTAAAGGCTCACATGAGCGTACTTCAGTCTTGTCTTTGGCGTCATCTCCTTCCTGTTATCTATCTCTCCTGTACTTTAACTGAAATACAACGTACTGTCGTCCTGCCTTTCATCAAACGCCCTCAATTCCCCGCGCCCTCGGAACCCAGAAACATATCGACCAGGGACCAGAACGCGCCCCCCGCCTAGGTTCCCGGCGGCGCGAGGGATGGTGTGTGCAAACCCTAGGTAGGGGTGCGCGCTGAGGGCGGACCTGCTGCCATCGCGCGGGTGACATCTCCCGAACTCCTTACATGGCGGTATGATCACGTCCCAGCCCGCATCGTCAAACAGGACTCCGACGTCGGGGTTGTGCAGGTGCACCACCCACGAGTGCGCCGCGCACTCTGTCTGCTTGTTGCAAAAGTGCACATAGTGGATGTTCTCGTAGTTCCTCCCGCCCGGGAGACACCATTTCTGCGGATTGTGGAGCGAGACTTGGGAGGTTGTGAAGCGGTGGCGAGGCCAGGTGCGTGCGGGGCAGCGGTCTTTTCGGGTTTCTTTGATGAATGGGGCAGTGGAGCGGCGTTTGTCGGTGTTACGGGTTTGGGGGGGGGGGGGGGGTGTGCGAGCGGTGGCATAGTATGAGGTGAAGGCGTCGGTGGTGGATGTCGAAGCAGCGCCTAGGACAAATCGGAGCGGGTGAACACAGGGCCCACATGGGTGCGGGGGAGTGGGGAGTGGGGTTGAGACGCGGGGAGGATGATTGTCGATGAGGGATGAGGGTTGGATAATCTACTGGAGATTGTGTGTAGCACTGAGCTACATGTATGTAGTAAAGCAAGCAAGATCTAGCATCCCTTCATACTCACCCTCCTCCTCCCTTCTCACCTCGCTCCTCCCTTCCCACATCCGCTAATAGATAACTACAAACCGAGCGACCGTCTTCTGTCAGATCACGTTTATCTGGCGAGATCGCGGGCCGCGGGAACCACTGTCGGGCGCGGTACTTTAGTGGGGGGGTGTGTGCCCCCGTGCCCTTGTTCTCGCGTCTGTGCCCGCCCGACCTGAACGTATCCCGAGTCAAACCCGACCCTGCCCCGTACTTAGAAACAAACTCTCTTCCCTTTCCCGTCCCACGAAAGATTATGAGGGGATCAATTCGTGGTTTTCCATCTGCACAAACGGTAATCATCAACGTAGCTTGTGGTTTATTCCAACCATTTATATTGTTCTAACCCATATCGTTTTGTTGCCTTTGATATCGAATGTCTGACCTTCAAGAAACTCAAATGACAGGGGAGTTTAGTCCATATTGTGGAAGTCGCATCGATAATACCAGCCAATTTCTGCTAGCGATTCACCATGGCGCGCGTACCTGTGATGCGCGTCGATTGAACCTTAGCCAAGTGACAATTGATGGTTTGGCCTCGGTAGGTGTCTTACTTGCAATTTTGGTTTTTGCCCTCCATGATACCCTCCACCTCTCCTTGAATCGCCGAAACCATCCTCGTGAAAATTTTGAACCGTAGGTCTTTGTGCAATCCTCAGAAACTACTACTTTATTTGGATAAAATAAGCAAAAATATCTCTTTACGTCCTCAAAAACCAAGCCTTATTAATCGCTCTTCCTCACTTCCTCCATTCCACAAATTCTTCAAATATTTTTCCTTCGAGCTCTGGCCATGAAGGTGGTTTATGATTCATAGATCTAGTACCCGACTTGTTAGCTCTTATTTGATCCTCCTTTCGTAACCAGTCAATAAACGTTGAATGTGATATACCAAAGCTTTTTGCAGCTCCGCGCTTGGAAATCAAAGTGCGGACACCTGGCGCGCCCAGTCTCAACAAAGGTTGTTTTGTAGAGCTGTATGTACAGTACGATGCCAGTCGTGAGGGTCAGGCGCAACCAGATTTCCACAACCTTTTCACGGCAGGTTGGTACACAAGATATTAAATGTCAAATTATTGTTATTTATCTACTATTTAACAACTATACAAAAATTCAGCTCTCCAAAGGATCAATTGTGGTTGCTGTGCTGGTACCCGTGATTGTTCGGGGGGCGTTGCGACGCTGCGCCTGACCCTCACGGCTGGCATCGTACTGTACCTCAACTTCTCCTCCCGGGTGTAGGAACGTTTCTTCCCTTTTTGCCTTAAATCTTTCAAGGGCCTCGCAAGTAGCTTAAGACTTTCAAGCTCTTGTTAGTTGAAACCGGCAATTTGGGAATCGGGAACTGAGTAGGTGGAACCGTAATTTCCACCTTTACTACTCGTATTGTACTCAGAGTAAATATTCTCAATGGCTTCGTCAGATTCTATATTGGACTGCGCATTATTGGGGAAAGTGTCAAGGCGCTTCAAAGTAGTAAGCGGGTTGAGGCTTCTTTCCTGTAATGGGCGGCGTCCGGATTTCATAGACATTTTCGTAACCTCCCGCATTCAGGTCAGTCTCACTACAACCTGCATCTCTTCAAAAAAAATCACCTTAGATTGGAACAGAAACTCTTCGCTCTTTGAAAAATCAAAGGAAGAACCGAATCTTTGGATGGAATCCGACTCATTTTCATCTACAAAAAAAACTCAACTGAATATCATTGGTACCCGTTCATGTCTGTTCGCCACTTTACTTTACTAATTGAGTATAGATCAACGCTCTTCGCCACATCCTATCTCCTGCAACAGACAGACCGGTCTGCTCCAGCGGAACCCTGCGGTACAAGCGCAGGGGTTTTCACGTGCCCTTGCTGCGACCGCGGCAGTGGTCGAATTAAAGTTTAGCCGCCACTAACCGAGCGCCAGGGTGCTTGACGGCTTTTCGTGGCTGGCGTCAGGGTCTGTCTGACTGCGTGCACATCTCGAACAGCAATGGCAGCGTTTCTATCGCAGCAAAGTAGATGTAACTCTGGACTATCAGGGTAGGTAAAACAGCGGTGGTCTTTCTCCGTTCAAGTAATGAATTTACAGCAGGCAGGTGGTTAACCCTAACCCTACCATCACCACCCAGAGTCCTACTGTCGTACGGGAGAAGAATTAAGAGCCGTGGAAAAGAACACAATAATTGAGACGGTGGCAATGTATCCCCACCTGCTCCCCTTCCGGCCAGTGTCAAAATAGTTTCATGAGTACTTTAGATCACCATCAACATCACCAGTATCGAAGTAGGTCATTTTTAATCAGTATAGCCATTACTATTAGGCAGCAGTGGTAAGCCCCAAAGTATTACCGTAACAAGCAATATAATCTCTTTACTAGGTGGTGCAAGATCCAGGTCGCGAATTTGATAGTAGACTTGGTGTATTAATATACCCATTTATACCCCCACATTAGCGAAAAAGCAGTTTCCGGTCACAGTATGTAATTTCAATTTATTCCATTGGTTTTAAAACACCCTAAGTGGCTAAACCTACTCTAACTAAGATAGCGACATGTCACCTTTAAGAAAATGTAGGGTGGCTGACATCAGTCGCGGATTTTCCATGCATTTACTCCGCTCGTGAGCCAAGCAGTGAATGAAACACTATCACTGTTTATAAAGAAAAAAATGAAATGAATATGTAATGAAAAGTGTGATTGCGCAATAAATGGAGTCACATGGTACAGGAAAGATTGCAAGAAACACGAAACAATTTCAGCCAGGTGGAAGATAAATTGAGCGAATATAATAAAATAAAATCAATGCTTGACAATAAGAAAAGATAAGTAACGTTTTGGTCCAACGGGCTTCCTTAAACAAGGACTAAGAGCTTCAGGCGCCAGTATGGATGAAAGAAGCCCACTTGATTGGCTGTGCTCGGTACATTTCACGTAGTCTTAGAACAGCTTTGTGAAATACAAGGCTTACTCTTCGATGCCCCCCTTCACGCTCATTTCCGTGAGGCCCCCCTTCGAAAAGCAACTTGTAGAACTCTGTTGCCACAATTAGGCAAGCATCATCAAATGAGGCCCATCGCGTGGCAAGTACATGGTTGAACCCTGCCAGTTGAAAGGCGCTGGCAATGAAGAGTGATTCGTCTGCCAATGCAAGCTTCGAGGAGTTTTCAGCTGTGCTACAGGCAGATAAGTAGGCTATCTGTGCGTCCCTGAGATTCATATGGGACATCTGTTCAACCGTTAACCTATCGATTTCTTCCTCATTTTTTTGAAGAATCAGGGCGCTATTCGATGGGCTGTTGTCGTCGGAGTCACCATGACAGGCGAAATGAATGACATCGTGCAATGGCATCTCCGTAGTAACCTTTGCTGTTGTAGGACAATTCAATTTAGTAGCGGAAAGCCACTGTGTTTTATCAACTACGTCCGAAATCCGTTCAACTTCCTCCGATGCTTTGAGTGATGACCACACCCCCCCTGGCGTAGTGGGCATGGCCACCGTGAGGATGCGGGGTTTAGACTTTTTGAGTAAGTCAAGGGGTTTTTCTCGAGCATATCTAAGTGCCTTGATCGTAGGTGTATATGATGAGATTGCTCGGCTTAGAGTGTTTCTCCCTCGATCCTTTACTATGATTGCCAGCAGCATGAAAGGGTGCCGCTGCTAAAGGCCCAACACCAATCCACCAGACTCGGGGTAACTCTTCCGGATCCTGATGAGGACCCTTACCTTTGTCGTTCTCAGACAAGATGTTGAGCTTTCTGAAGACCGGCTTTACTACGTCTTCCCACAACCATGCAAGGAACATCTTCATATCTTTGGTTTTGCTAGCATAGTTGGAGCGGTTCCACTTCAAACACTGCTTGAATACAGCCATTTGAGTGGTGACCTTCTCATAAAACCCTTGAGGAAATTCTAGAGACTTTATCGCCTCAGGTGTAACAATGATGGCATGGCCTCCGATCTCTAGGCAATTCAGGATGACGATTGGACCCTCGCACGCCATAGCTTGGAGGTCCTCTGCGCATGGTGGAAGCTGGAATCCTTCAAAGCCAGGTAACTTGCGGATTGAATCCATGACTTCCTCCAGTTCATCCACAGCTTTCTCCCTCCGGCGGTAGGTTGGGCCTTGAGTGAGCTGATCTGTGCTTTCCCGAAGTACCGGCGAATCAACCTCTATTCGGAGCTGATCATATCTGTTGCAGAGGTCCGGATGCTGGGATCGTAAGTCTGAAACATCGCAGCGGCTGTCAATCACGCCACCCATAATCAATCCTCGACTAAGTTCTAGTAGACGAAGACAAGAGGATGCATCCTCACCCGCGAGAAAGCAGATCCCGACGGCAATGGATCCCAGCTCGGGGGGGATACTTTCTGTGAAAAAGTTCTCCTGGTCGCTCCCCCCCACGTAGCGGAGGTTCACTTTATCGAGTAACCCGAGACCTTGTTTGTAAAGTGCACTGGCTTCCTTTAACATACCCAACTTAGCATATTGCGCAGCTGAAAGCACTGAGGCCAACACCAAGCTCCGAGGTTGGGCGGCACGACAGCTCCAACTCTCCCGTAAGAGTGTAACCATCTTGTTCGGATCGTCGAAGGAATGTGATATTCGGTACCTAAGTTCAAGAGCCTGTGATAAGTTCCAAATGAAATGTATTCTCTTAGGATCCTCCTTTGGCACTGTATCCAAAGCCTCTTCGAGGTTCTTCACTGCAGGCTCAATAAGCTTCGTGCCTCGGCTTCCGAGTAACTTAAATCGCTCAATGTAGAGTTTGCCCAGAATCCACAATCCATGGGAGCGCTCATTAGGATTATCCCTCGGCGTGATTGAGACCCTCAACTCCATAAGTTTGATGGCCTCCTCAAGGTCCTCCACGGCTTGCGCTTTCCTGTATTCGTATCTGGTGGAAATTGCAACGGCAAAATTGTTAAGCAACACCCCTCGAGTGGGATTATCGCTAGGCGCAGACAAAGAGTCGCTAGTCAACTTGATAGCATTCTCGAGGTCATCGTATTCCCTATTGCGCTGATACCTTTGCTCGTACAAGCTCCCCAGGATACTGGATCTGAGACTATTTTTTTGCGTCAAAGGGTTTTGAATCCTCAACCGCCATCTTGATAAACTTGATGGCCTCCTCAAGGTCCGACAGCGCGGAGAATCGCAGATACCGACTATGATACATGGTTCCAAGACTTGCTACAACATCTGCGCGGTCAGGGGCGCCAGGTGCAACCCCAGAGAGCCCTTCTGCAGTTGAATCCAAGGCGAGGTCAAGGTCCTCCACTGCATGCAATCGTAGGTATCTTTTATGTGCCATATTGCCAAGATTACATAATAATAGTGGTCGGAAAGGGTTCCATAGAGGCACCACATTTACGGCTTCTTTTCCCCACTTAATGGCGAGGTCGAGGTCCTTTAGGGCTGCGAACCGAGTAAATTTAGAACTGAGCGATATGGCAAGGTTGCACAATGCGACTGGATAATTTGGGTCATTCGGTTGGCATTCAAGTACTGCTTTTTCCATCCAGACCATTGCTTCGTCGAGATCATCCAAGCGTCCAAACCGGTCGAATTTCGTATTCATTATAGCCCCCATGCCATTCATTATGCCAGATAAACCGGGATATCCAGAGGGTGCTAGTTCCACAGCATCTTTGGCCACCTTGGCAGCACGCTCAATGTCCTCTACCGAATTTGTTGTCTTGAACTTTACCAAGAGCATACCCGCGAGATTTGACAAACTCTGCGGTCGCATAGGATCACCAGGATGACACTCTGAGAGTGCTAGTTCCGCCCATTTGATGCAACTGTTCAAGTCTGCCGCATCTCCAAGACGTCTGTATCTGCTCATGCTCATTTCTAATAAATTCCGCATGCCTAATCCTCGGGTATCGGTTCCCACGGGGTTTATTGCAACCGATTCCTCAGTAAGAGCAATTGCCCGTTGAAGATCTTCGTCAACTCCAGATGCCTCGTATCGTCTAAGAAGCATTTGTCCTAGATTTATCAAGCAGTGTACTCGGCCAACGATGTGTTCAAGAGGTATGCTTGACAAAACGTCTTCCACGAGCTCAATGGCGCTCATGAGTTCCGTTAGATCTCTTGATTCATTATATCTTTGAAAGAGATCTTGACTCTTGGACATCTTTATCTGCTCGGGCGCTCGCGGCTCATTCACATCGCCAGCGGCGTCTGCATGTGCTTGTTGTTCTTCACTGGCTCCCGCATCTCTCGTAATGTCTCTTGAACTGCTCGCTGAGGGAGTGTTCCCGCCGCTCGAGTTCGGGGCACGAAACCCGTGCCCCGAAACAATCTGAGCCCCCTCACCATTGCTAATCCCTCCCTATAGCTTTAGAAACTATACAAGCTAATCAAGTCAACTCGGACGAGGCGGCTTACCATGTCTCTCCCTCTATATCTTTTGATTGTGTACTCTGGCGGACTGATAGATATTCCATAGTGTCCTCTAAACTATCTCTGAGTCCTAGACTTCTATGTGCTAGATGTTTCTTAGTCCACTCATAACCTCAGTTAGCCTCATTGACACTCACTATTCACTGGGTACTGGGTTGCACAATAATAGGATTATAGGGCTTACATCAACTTAAAGGCCAGAAACTGGACCCTAGTTCCTCTTTTTAGTTGTCCAAAGTAAATGTTATGGAAAATGTCGGATGGGTGGCACAAACGTTCGATGAAAAGTGGTAGTGAAAGGAAAGCGTAGCACCTGCTCAAAGGTAGCCGGAAAGGTCGATGGTGTGCCGTGGGAGCCAAGGGGTTCGCTGTCTCCGCCGAAAGCTATCTCCTTGGGAAATGATACTGATAGACTAAATTCATCCTATATACGTTGTAATATTGCTTGCACAGAGTCCCTGGGTACTTAGGATTGTGCTGACCATGATGGCTGTAAACGCATTTGATCGCGATGGCATCCACGCACCAACCATTCTGATCTGACACATGTTATTTTAACTCCAATGATCGAGGTTTTAGATAGACTACGTACACAATGCACGGGAATGATAATGGATCTAAATCGAGCCAACATATATCAATATTATCCCGTATATCTCCGCTCTAGATCCATTTTCAAGCTGCTTTGTAAAACATGAAACGACGTTCTTTATGCGCTAGATCGAGGGACTGCAACCTTAAAGTAGATTGGCTGGGCCTTGAGGCACTCTGCCCAAAATGGCTAGCTAGCTTAATAGCTCACGCACTCGCGACCACGAGTTACACTTCATTGTTTCTTCAACGAGTCCCCGCCAGGAGGAAACCCCCCACCCAACGACTGTGCTTTCCGCCAGCTCCGATCCGGTATCAATCTCCTTCTATGCTCTCCACAGTCATACATGGATTCGATCTACATATATACAGCTTACCCTCAAAAGAACAGGAAAATGCAAGTAACGGAAACAAGGATTATTTGTATGAGAGAACGACGCCACTCCATACAAATTACCCTTGCCCAGAGCAACTGCATTTTCTGGTACTTACGCTGGTAAGCGTGTATACTCGGGTTAGGTAAGAGGAATCTGGGAATGACTTTGAACGGTAACAGCCTCTGGTTCGCGACTAGTAAAAAACTACACCAAATTGGGCCCCTTCTTTGCAGCTTGCAGTTTCAGGTTCCTATTGCCTGCCCTGAGTATACTCGCCACCCACCGTAAGAACCTGAAAACGTAGGTGCCAGTGGCAAGGGTGGTTTGTATGGGCCAAGGCAGTTCTCCATACAAATCATCCTTGTCCCCATCACTCGCATTTTCAGGTTCTTTTGGTGGATAGCGAGTATGTGCGTACGTACACCCGCAGAAAAAGACCGTCCAAATTCCAATGCAAAATTGAAAATAAAAACGAAAAGAATTAATATAACTAGACAATAAAATACAGAATAGATACTATGGCCTCTAAACTATATTCACCACTTTTTATGATCTCCCTAGTCCTTTACTACTGCTGCAATTCTCTTTGGCATGCTGTCAATGATTTTTATATATATTTCCCCCAAGCCGGCCTTTCCTACTCTTCCCTAGCTTGGGCTTCAATAACTTTTATGTTTTCACTCAGAGTAGCCTCTATCCACTTTTCAGACTTGTCAAAAGGCATGGCCACGGAATACTCGTGGGGTTGTATTGCGGGTGTGGGGATGTCAAGTTGGAGGCACCCGTTGTCACGCTACTCGCTGTTTCCTCAGTTCTTTCCTGCGCGTGTACATGCATACAGCTCCATTGAATATGTACTCTAAACATCGTAGTTTCTGCCCCCCATCCATATACTCTCGGCTCCAATTGCCAATATTTGCATCTTTGAACCAGACAATCCCTATGCGCCCGATCGACTTGGGCAGTCTATGTAGAATTATAACTCCACGAATTTACGTACTCGACTGCGGACATATTAGTTCTACATATAATACGACCGACCAACGGCAAGTAAGAGCGGTTATTAAACTTGGTGTGAGTATCAAATACGGGCGTTTTAATTCTGGCAGAGTGAGTACTGATATACTGTGCGATGGGCATGTGATCAGCTGTGTATGGCAGAAAACATAGTATACATTCACTACTATCACTCAGTCTTTTAATACGGAGTACTCGTAGATCGTGTGATGATTTGCGCACATGTTTCATTTCAAAGCTAGCTATGAAAAATAATCTTGAATCGTATAGGGATCCTCGAACATACGGTGATCATCCGCGGCGAGCCTAACAATATATCAATTACATGCAATAGGGTCTCTTGAATTATATACTACTCGCGCCAGCTGAGACGCACCCGAATAGTTACATGCCGAGACGCAACTATCACCGTGTCAGAAGGGGAAGATACACTGGCGCAATGTAGCTGCATTTTCGAATACTTATTAGCTGTCGCAATTATGTTTTGATAATCTTTAGTGGGGTTGATCGGATTTTACTATGTTCATCTGACTATATATATCGTTTATTTTGTATATGATGTGAAATATTTTTTACACGTAGGCGCACTAACGGAAGAAAAACATCCACCCCTGATTACGGAGGCCTGTACCATTAAAACCGTCATATCAATGCTTGAAAAAAAAAATTTGAGAAATTTTTTTTTTGGCGGAAGTAGTTCCAGTTACACAATCCTTTACTGAACACTTAAGTATACCCGCCCCAGTGAATTTATGAATTAAAATAAAAAAAAAACCCCCCGCCGACCCAATATGCCAGTGCATCCATTCCAATACACATCCACTCAAATTGATCAAAGTCAATCGCAGCAGTTGCTAAATTTATTGTGACATCAGGTGCCCGCTCCATTATAAAAATATAAAATACAAAATTTGGTGTACTATTCAACACCATCAGATAGATAATCATTTTCATCATTGTATTCCATTTCTAGATAAGCATCCATATCTAAATCTATCTCTTCCAATCCTTGGCTTTTCTGACCCCATTCAAATGTGCGAGATGGTGGTTCGCAAAGTGATAATATTCCACCTTGCTCAATAAAAATACTAGCAGCCTGACGGAGATAAATATATGCGACACGATGTAGTGGAAGTTCAAAATATGCCATTTCATATTTGATAGGGTATTCGGTAATGCCACAATTTTGCAGTTCTTTTTTACACCGCTCTAGTGTCGCCAAGGGAAGATACTCGTTTAGGTCTATACTTGAAATTAGCTATCTACTTGATTAAAAAATATTTTTAATTATACCATATCCTAGCAAATCTGCTTGTAATTCTTCCAAAACCTCTCTGTTCAGTTGCGACCCATAATTACGGACACCATCAGGTGGGTTGAAGTACAATACAACTGGTTGCCCAATTGGCAAGTATGGCCGGTTTTTTTGGTACCGAATCGTATGCGTATTCCACAATCGTACATATTCATATATTTCTTGTCTAATTATTGGCATAGAGACATATAATAGAGCAATTTGATCTGCAAAACTGCCAGTAAATTCACTAGTATCGCGCATGTTGTCCAAATATGACTGTTTATATTTTTGTTAAATTGTACGGGCCAGAGTGAGAAATTAAGTTACTTACCTTCCATGTACTTGTTTGACTCTTACCCATTCCCCGCCACCAAGACTCTATTTTCTGGTTCAAAGTTAATGTACCATACCAATAAATTTGATTCAATTGTATATTATCATCGTTGGCCCTATACAGTTGCCAGTGTGCATTGGCCATCATAGTGGTTTCCGTACCCCTGTCAGACCGAATCGCATTTGGTAGTATATCAGTCATGTCTACCAAATCCAAATACTGTTTTAGAACCACCACGCCTGTCCTACATGAAATACCAACATGTATCCAAAGCACATATCTAAAACATTCAAGTTTAGCAGGAATACTCAAAAGAGTTTGTTTGTATGCCTACCTTGAATATGCGTCAATACCAGCATATACCTCAATACCATAATCACTCATTTTATGATGTCCGTCAATTGACAAAAAAAATTTACCCCTTGTACGGTATATATACCACGCAGGATCTTTTGCATTGGAAACGGTCTCTCGGCTATACCAATCGGGTCTAGAAAACGCAAAACCTCAAACATCCTATCTCTTGCGACCAGTATTCCACGTTGCTTTAATTTTTGGTATGTGAGTCTCCGACCGTATAATACTGTTTGTCCAGATGAAAGTTGCTCCTTCAAAACTCTTCTCATAACTGAATTATGTTCTAAATAATCCTTTCTTTCTGTCCGTCTCTGAATCCCGAGAGAAAAACCTAGGCGTGTCATTACTTTCATCTCAATATCGTATCCTTCCTTTCGTAAAAAGAGTTGAATATTTGTGTCTGAAAGCTCAAACTCGTAAAAAAATATCCAAATTCTTGTTTGTAAGTCGGCTAGTTGCATAGAATCTAGGGTGAGAATTTGTGATTTGTTTTTCCGGAAACTCCAGCTTTTCAATTCACGTTCTAGTTTACTCTTTGACGGGAAATCTTGACTGTTTTTGGAGTTGGACTGTGCTAATAATAAAATTTCAGTATATTCTGTTTGTAGGATAATCCTAACATTGTCGATCGTGTGGTTTTGCAGTATGTACCATGACCATATGACGTACTGATAGTGGGAAAGATCTGTTTAATTTGGAGGCATTTTGGAGATAGTAAAAAATCTCAAACGAGGATTGACATCTATCTATTTATACATCTGAACTGGAAATATCTGTTATTTTATACCAATCACTTTAAGCCTAAACCTACTCTATTTACCAACGCAAAATGAGTTCTATTCCATGCCCAACTGATCCTTACTGCCATCAGTGTTGCCAACTGAAGCCAAATTTTGTTGGCCAATATCCTCTTGCACTCCGTCAAAATCCTCTTCCTTACCCAGACAATATACTTGAGCAACGCTGTACTGGGTGTTCACAAGTTCGACCCTATGAACAAATACTCAAGCAAAATCAATCATCTATACAAATTGCAAATCACGATACAAATCACATTATGATTACTAGTTCTGCGGAATTAGTATCCATTGCTTCTCGGAAAGAAAATGGAAATCCTGATCAATACACTAGCCATCCTGAACTGTCTACAACACAAAGCTCAATTCCCCGTTTTGCAACATATTCACTTTTTGAAAACGCGGTCAATTCAGCAAAATCTGGAAATAGAAATATTTTACCTACCAGCAGAATCTCATCTTTGAGAAGAAGAGGATCAACACGGGTTCCCACTTTTCCCGCAAATCAACACTCAACAAATATTTCCACCGAAAATAAAAGTCCACCCAGAGCTTTTGAGAGACGCTTGCGATTACTATTCCGATCTAGTACAATAAATAAAATAGAGGAAATTCCCGGTAGTGAAATTTGGAGACCTGACAGTAATATATTGGATACTGTTATCCAAAAGGGTTCTCTTTATTGGACTGTTTTCTTGGAATATCAAATCTTACGCAAAACTGCTCTTTGGCAAGAATTTGTAAAACAATTTTGGAATATGGACCCACCAGTTTGTAAGTATAATCCAATTGAAACTGATACTGGTCAAAAGAAATATTTATTAATATAACAATAGATCCTTACGTGGAATGTATACAATGGTATTCTAGTTGGAGCAAAAGAACTGGTGGCGACCGATTACCTGAAACATTATACACTGCGACAGAGAATCAAACCATCCGAACTGTTTTGACTGAGTTTTTTCCAGATATCAATAAAGGTGTTACTTCATTTGTCTACCTATTGTTAGATTTCTCCCTTCTGGAAGACAAAGATTTGAGTTCTACAAATCAAGAAGATTTCTCTTTTTCCAACTTGTTGGATATAGATGGAATAGATACACCGGTCGGTTCATATTTAAAACAATCAACGGAACCTTAACTCGAAACTGAAACGGTATCATCAATTTCAAAACCGTCATCACCAGTTGCCGTAGGGTGCAGCTTGAATAAGGTAATTAATTTTCAATACTTTTTTAAACTGTATCAATTAATAATTCTTTCTAGCGTGATTTTGAAGAAACAGAAACTTTCAAGTTAGTTCCACCGGTTTCACGTCCACAAACAAGAGCGTACAAAAAAAGCCGAACAAACCAACAAGAACCTACCAAAAAAGCCAAAAAAACTAACAAATAAATCTACAATTTTCATATTATTCAATTGTTTGCATCTCATTCCTTCATTTTTTCCTCAACTAAATCTGTCAATGCCTGTTCCGAAAACTCTCCAACTCTCCTCAAAATTCTTTCAAATTTAAGTTTTGCTGTTCCCATTGCAGAAGACCGCTTTGCCTTCCTAACATTATTTGCTCTCCATCTTGCTGAATTTGCCCGTTCGCGTTCCTTCTTAGTCCCTAAATAAAATTTTAGTCAATTATTATTAGTAAATTATTTTTAGTTGTCAAGCAAACAAAACAATTTAATAAAATACCTTTTCCTTTTTTCCTCTCCTCCTTCAAAGCCGTATATGTTGCTTTATGATCCTTTCTAGCAAAATATCCCTTAGTATAATAGAGAAGGTGTTGCCAAACAGCTTTTTGAGGATCCTTCCGGTGCTGAAAATCCTTATCACAGGCTGGGCATTTGATAAGTTTTTCAGTAGGTGTAGGTACTTGAGGAGTAGGTAGTGGTGTAGGTGCAGGTGCAGGCAGAGCTGCTTTGGAATTTTTGACAGGCTTCTTTCTTACTCTACCAGTAGGAGTATAGCTATAGGGGGCATTGGCATTGGTAGACATTTTGTAGTTGTTGTTGTGGTTGAAGGGTGACGCGATGATTTGCAACTGATGGTTGCGACCGCGTCCTGACAGGGCGCATCCTACTAGGACGCGTTCAACCAACAATGATTTGCAACCCACATTTTTTCAAACGCATCAACCAGCAATGATTTGCAACCCATCTTTTGTTAAACGCGTCAACCAACAATGATTTGCAACCCACTTTTGTTCAACGCGTGAATAATACAATGATTTGCTACATACTTCTATTCACGGTTGCGATCTACCACGACCCGGACCCTGCCTGCGACCCGGGCCCTGCCAGCGACCCGCAAGGCAGCGTCTTGATATGACGGTTTTCATAGTACAGGCCTCCGTACCTGATGATCAAAGGGAGTTCCCTTTTGCATAGCTAGGTGATGTATCAATTTAACTACACATGCCTTCATTTCCTGACCATGCGCAGGATAGACTTGATTGAGCTAGTGGCAAGTAATAGAACTGTCTAAAGTAAATATTAATCCGGAAGTGATCGACGGCGGGCAGTTTGTTTTTATAATGACCACTTGTAAGCGCAGGTGCCTATAGTTTTATGTATCGCCTGGCAGGCCATCTGACAATGTGGTTTGTCGATATAAAACAAGGCACCAATCTCAGAATGCCAAGACACTCAGTAATCACATATATATTCACATATATGTGCGAGAACTAAACCAACACAGCCCTGCACCACACACCTTTACAATCGAACGCTGGGAGAGAAGATGGACAAGTTGGGCATATATGGTTGGACCAGCTCACCGCTCATTCAGCAAATCGGTTAAAGTGATATTGCATGGCAGTTTTGGTTAGTTTATTCCTGATAAGTCCTCCTTATTAATGGCTCAGAGCGAGGAGAGTAGGGAGGAAATAGTGTTTCGGTCCAGCCTGCTCTAGGTTTTACTCCTCCTCCATTACCCCCGAAAAATCGAGCGGCCTGGGCCACCTAACCTGAGTATACGTATGTCTTTTTGTATGGAAGAACTGAGAATGACACTATGTTTCAAGGCACCAGACAGTAGCGAAATCTCTCTCATGCGTAAATGTCATGTAATTTCATTCTTTGCTACAGGGAATGTCCAGGTAGTTCGCCGCACTATTAGTCTTTAGAATACTTAGAAATTCCATAAACCTCGCTTTATTTCAGTCAATCATTTCCTTCATAGGCCACACCAATGCATGAGAGAGATCCGCCAGTGTTTGTTGCCTCCGGGACATAGCTATATGGATTAAAATCAAAATTATCTACATGTCCAACAGTCTACATATATGTATAAATATAAAAACGCCCAAAGTCGTATCCACCACTTTCTATCATATACCTTTCCACCTAACCCTCTTCATTTGCCCTGTTAATCCCTTCAGAATACGAATACCAAGAACTACTATTATCTCTCTGTATATCAAACTTTCGTTATTATGACGACTGCACACCTTGTAGGACAGCTTCTACCAATCACATCTGCAGAGCTTGGACGTCTTGTTCTCAATCCCAAAAAACCGAATCAAGATTTCATCGATCTGATATTTGAACCGACATTTACTTGCCAGATAACAAAGAACTTCCAGGAAAACTATGAAGAGAGACGTCGATTTTCAAAATTGTTAAGTCTCAAAGGATTTCTCAGTGATATCTGCTCGATGTCGTATCAGAAGCAGAGCAAGTTAGAGGCCACACTACGTGCACCAAGCGCTACAATGTATGACCTAGACAACTCCGGGAAGTGGTTCGAAAGCGTTTGCAGTCAGCCCAGTGTACGAAAGTTCCTTGAAACATCCATCGATGAAGCCCGCAGTATCTATCTTATTATCGGGTATCGGACAGTCAGCGATGGAACCTTGGTGAAAAAGCTTTCCGTCAAATCCAACAAAGCGACTGGAATTCAGGGTCCTCTAAGCCTCCTTCCTGCCGGTATCACGACGCCAGTAACGAGTCTGATAGATCCTACTGTTCAGCTAAACCAAGATTCCGGAAATATCCAGGAGCTTCTTTACAAATCACCAGGAGAACAAATATTCGCTATACTATACCGGAAGGTCAAGTACAAGTTTATGACTAAGCGGTCACTAGAAAGCATGGTCCTTGAAGCAAACAATAGATGGAAGACTGTTTGGGATTGGAGGGGACCTGCGTCTCAGGTGAATGTGCCCAATATACTTGAGGTTAATCTGGTTGATGATGAGGATCCATTAGAGGAGGAGGAGGAAGACGATGAGGATGGAGATGAGGAAGATACTGAAACTAGTAAACACCCTGTGGGGCTGAGATCAAAATCCACTGACCCCCCTGAGCCTACTGATATAATGCTCAAAGAAAACACTCATTCACCCCTGCAGGTATCTGGGGGTCGAAGATTCGAGATGCGGTATATTCTTATCTTCTTAGCTTGCATATGTGGAGGAGTTTCTGTCTATCTGGATGGATTAATTTGATGGTCAAGCATTCCTTAATGAATACCGGGAATGCTTCATGACCAAGGGACCTATAACTCAGACCCTACAAACCTTGTTGTTGATTCTAGTTACATTCTACACTAAGGTACAAAATCGCTTGTGTTAGTAGCACAATTTATGTGTGTCATATTATTGTGTCGACGACACAATAATATTGTGCTGTTTATAGATATATATACTGGCGAGTTTAATTAATCAATTGTGTGGAAAATGTGCCAATAATGTGTCTAAATTGTGCTGAGAACACTGGCATATTGTGTTCAAAATGTGTTGAGAACACTGGCATATTGTGTTCAAAATGTTTTGAGAACACTGGTATATTGTGTTCAAAATGTGTTGACAACACTGGTATATTGTGTTCAAAATGTTTTGAAACTGTGTTGAAACTGTGTTCAAACTGTGTTCAAACTGTGTTCAAACTGTGTTCAAAATGCGTTGAAAATGTGTTCAAATTGTGTTCAAATTGTGCCAGTGATGTGTTGAGGACACATGTATATTGTGTTGAAACTGTGTTGAAATTGCGTTGAAACTGTGCTAGTAATGTGTTGAAACTGTTTTAAAATTGCGTTGAAACTGTGTTGAGGACACTGCTATTACGTGTTTATAACACTGTTGCGGTGTGTCAAAAATGTGCAAAAATTGTGTAAAGAAACACATATAAACTGTGTTGAAACTGTATTCTCGACACATGTAATCGGTGCTAGAACTGTGTCGAGAACACACATAACTTGTGTCGAAAACACATATAAATTATGTTTTATTAGCCCTACACAATCTATATGTGTTTGGTCTACGTTTTAGCACTGCTTAATTGTGTTGCAAAAGCGTCAATCAGAAAATTCATTCAGAGCAAATTAATTCTATATATATCTAGCAACATTAAGGCTATAGCGCTAGCAGTACCATGTACCATGGAAATGAAAAACAATTAAAGCAACCATCTCCCCTAATGCTTATCACTCCATATCGTATCGTATTCATTCAAGTTGTATCTTGGCCCTTAGATATTTCTCCTTTTACCGACGGATCTTGTCAGCAGGTGGTCGAACATATTAATGTATACACTTTAAACAACGTATGAATACATGTACTTACATATCCTGGTGGGTTATTCTCCTCAAATTCCACCCGGTTGCAATTGGCTTGACGCTTTTCGGTTGTGATATCATTAGCCTGAGAAACCTCCTGGAAATACGCTGCTGTTTCTCTTGATTTCCTACTTTTTGTGGCCGCACGGGTAGACTTCCTGGATGGGATAACTCTCTTCGAGTTATTCTGTCTATCTTTCCCTTCCTCTCCCTCAACCATTTCATCTAACATTTCTGTGTCTTCATGAGCATTAGTTTCACCTTTGCTAACCTCTTTTTCTCCTTGTGTCCCTTTGACCACTTGTGTCCCTTCGACCACTTCCGGTGTATGTCCAGTCTTACTTTCTTTGTGTTTGTTTTTCGAACCGGGAGGTCGGCCCCTTTTTCTCTTGCCGGATATACCCTCGGTATTTTGGGAGGCCTGGGTCTCTGCCACCGCCTGGGTTCCCTCAGCGTCTGGAGTCATCTCTACCTGTTTCGTCCCCTGGGTTCTGTCAGTAACAACACATGGGTTTCTGGCGGGAACCTTTTTTGTACGTAAAGCCAGATCCTTCCTTGGAGCTGGTCCATTCTTGGGAGCCGGTGCCTTCTTGGGAGCCGGTGCCTTCCTTGGAACCGATGCCTTCTTGGGAGCCGGTGCTTGTTTCAAACCCGAATCGTTGTCGCTGTCGTTGTCGTCGTCTCCGGCCACATTAACAAACTATGAGAGCACAGAACCGAGTTAGTGTATATATGATGATTAACGAGCCATAAACACCCATTGAGTTTACCTTTGATCTGCGAGATACTACTGGGAACTCAAGCTGTGTCTGTTCTTATCCAACAAACTGAATCGGTGTCTTATCCGCTGACACTTTTGCAAATATGCGTCTCTGTGTATGTTTCATGGATCGGTCGACAGAGTCGTTAGGTTACGATGAGTTGGATTAGTCAGGAGGTTTCCATCGCGTTCTATGGATTTCTGTTCGGTTGCGCGGTGTGAGTCACTTTGGATTAGTCATCGTAGGATTTCCTTGGGTATATTAGAGGGCTCTCCCTCGCCTCGTTCCTGTTTTCCTTTCTCTTCTTCTTTCCTTACGCAACGTCTTCTGTACTCCTCGCAACACCAAAACTTTCGAACAACAATAACTTTTGGCCTGCCTTTCCGATAAAACCTTTACTCGAACACGATCCTGTATGTCAATAGACCGCGTAATCTATTGGTATCTCATCGCACATCTGTTCGTACGCGAAGTTATTCACGCTTTAGTCCCTGAGTTGTGATCTCCTCACCCCTCAACCCTCGCTTAAGCCTCGCGACCGTAGCGAAAACAACAACCTGGCCTCAACAACCCCACCAAACCCACCAAACATTGCGGGCAGAAAGAGAACTCTATCAGAAGTCTTTCCTAACCCAATCCGATCCGGAACGTCAGTGATGTCCCAGCAAGCCTCGTTGAGCTCCTGGTTCGCAGGGGCTCCCCCTCCAGGAACCCCGGCACCCCCCCGCTTCCCCGACACCCAATCGACCCAACAAACACAATCCACCACAGTGGAACAGACCCAACTCGGCAACGAACCTTTTTCCATCTTCGCCGAATATACTCAATATAACGAACCATACGCACCAAAATACCACTACATCCACCCCAGCATTGTTCCTGAAGAAACCCACGCCAGAATGGACTTGAACTACATCTCTTGGGTAGTTAGAAACGCCCTCACCGTAGCACTCGAACCCCTCAACCAAACGACCGAACAAATTAATAGGGACCTAAAAGCCACTATCGAAGTCCTATCCACCCAAAACGATTCCCTCAAGCACACTGTCGACGTCCTGGCCAAACAAATGTTTGAAATGACAAAGAACCAGGACAAAACATCGGAAAAACTCCACCGCCTCCAACAACAGCTCACCAACCTCTCTATCAACACGCCCAGCAATCAAGCAATCACGGAAGGAAGAAATGGGGCAATTGCCGCCGTCGCGGCTGCCACCATCACCGCCCGCACCACACCCGCCAACAACCCCAACCACCCCAACTACCCCAACCATGCCCAACAACAAAAAGGGAAAGCAAAGGAAACTCTGGCCCCACCGGCACCGAAATCCTATGCGTCCGCCGCGGCAGGAAATACAAACCCCGAATTCACGACTGTCACGAACAAGAGGAAAACCAAACCCAAAGCAGACCCCCTGTTCAAACCGGAAATCACCAAACTCAACCGGGAAATCGTGATCGAAACCAACAAGGAACTCACAGTCACCCCATCGGACATCAGAACCAAGATAAATGCAAAAATCCAGGACCCTGATTGCCAGCTAATTGCCGCCCGGAAAACAACCAAAAACAACATAATCCTAGAATCAAAATTCGCAACCCCAGCAACCAAGGTCCTTGAATACAAAAAGGAAATCGAAACTGCCCTGAACGAACTAAAGGTACCCTTCGTCGACATCCGAATTAACTCTAGATGGTCAAAATTCATCATCCATGGCATCCCCACATCCATAGGCGAAGCCTTCGACGCAGGACAATGTCTAGCATCGGAAATCAGAAACAACTACGGCAACACTTTCGAACTGGCACAAATTCCGAGATGGCTATCAAAACCAGAAGCCCGAATCGGGAAGTCACACTCGTCAATGATCATCGCCCTCCCCGGACAATTCACCAAAGAAAACCTCGGCCTCCGATACCTTACCCTCTTCGACAGGAACTGTAAAATCGACAGTTACCTCCCTGCAAACCCGGAAACCCAGTGTGCCAAATGCCTCGAATACGGCCATAGACAGGAACGCTGCTCCAACAGCGGAAGATGCGGACACTCTGCCGAGGAACACCAAACCAAAGACCACCCATGCACAGAATGCGCCGGAGGCCTCAGATGCTCACACACACCGATCCGATGCTATCATTGCAAAGCCCCCCACAAAGCAACAGACGCCAACTGCCCGGAACGAACCAAAGTCCGAATCACAAACAGACTCGGACCAGACACAAACCCAAGCCCGCTACCAATTCCCGTAGTTATCCCGGCCCAACCCCCACAAGAAGACGCAGCCATGGACAACACCCAATGAGTCACATCAAAAGAACCACGGCTATCGCACAGCAACTGAACTGTGCAAAAAACGAGCTAACAACAAAGTCAGTAGTGGAGGAAGCAGAACAGGACCACAACATACTATTTCTTTTGTTACAGGAACCATGGAACAATAAGGACGGCCACCCACCGGAATCCCCTCTCTTTTATCTATTCACAGCCAGCAACAAGGGCACCAAAGCCGCCACATACATCAGAAAACATGCCAATCTAAAACCAAAACACCATCACACGCACAACAACTTCATCGTCTCCGTCACGGTGGAAATTCAGAACCAAAAAACACAAATACTCAACATATACTCACCAGGGCGAAGCGGACCTTTCGCAGAAATCTCCCACCAAGTAATCACCATCCAAAACTGCCTCGTCATGGGAGACTTCAATAGCCACCACCAACTCTGGTATGGACACAGATCCCACGACTACACCAATACGATTAGAGCAGACAAATCGGGATCCAAGAAGCTTAAAGGATGGATAGACCGACAAAAGTTATCCCTACTCAACGAACCAGGCAAATTCACACATTTCCCCGGGAACAACAATAGACCGACCATCATCGATCTGACACTCGTAAAAGGACCAGTACTGGACCATGACGTCCGCTGGAACATCGACCGATATGGAGCAGGTTCTGATCATGGGAAAACGATCCTGCAACTACGAATAGTGAAACCCCCCCATATCCCCAGAAGACTATGGCACCGAACGAACTGGGAGAAACTGGAAGAAAATATCTCAGGCCTCCACTTCCCCCCCGAAGTATGGGAAAGCCAGAACCACACAAAGCAATCGGTCGACTTCATACTCGATCATATAGACAACCTGATAGACCAAGTAACCCCATGGAGCCAAGGACACCCTAAATCCAAAAAATGGTGGACCCCAGAGCTGAAGGAAATTAAATCAACCCTCAACACACTAGAAAGAAAAGCCAGGAACACCCAAAAGGACGAAGATAGGGAATCTTTCAGGAAGACCAGCAGGAAATGGACGGCAGCAATCCGAAAAGCCAAGACAGAACAAAGGGAAAAAGAACTCATGGAAGCCAAGGGAAGCGCCATGTGGAAACTAGTCAACACGGGGAAAAGAAGGGACTCTACAATCCCAACTATACAAGGTGAAGAAACGTTTGCGGGGAAGTGCCAAGCTCTAAGAGCCCAACTCTTCCCCACAAATTGGACGTCCCCCGACAACCCTCCACTCCAAATCAGACCCCCCTCTTTTGACCTTAGTGACGATTTTCAGGAAGTAACAACAGAAGAGATTACATCCGCAATCATATCATGCCCGACACACTCGGCCACCGGACCCGATAACATCCCATACCCGTTTATACAGGCAACAATCAAGGCAAACACCCAACTCTTCCAAGACATGTTCTCGGCCATGCTCCGACATGGAGTCCAGCCGGATCGATGGAAAGCGGCAAAATGCATACCGATCCCGAAACCAGGAAAATCTGACTACTCGTCAGCCAAAGCCTACCGACCCATCTCCCTATTACAATGCTTCAGCAAAGTACTGGAAAAGATAGTGGCAACAAGACTATGCACCGCCGGTTCCATCCCGGAGACCCTCAGCAAAGACCAGTTTGGAGGAAGACCAACAATCTCAGCGATCGATGCCCTACTACGGACTCTTACGCCCATACAACAAAACCTCCTAATCAAACGAACTACAGGAACCACCCCAGACAGACCAGCCCTCCTCACAAATGATATACAGGGAGCCTTCAACTGCGTCAACCACCTCCTACTCGCAGAAATCATGACCCAACAAAAATTCCCAACATACCTAACCAACTGGTGCAAGGAATTCAACACCAACCGAACACTCCAATTCCAATTTAACCACGAACTGGAACCACCACAACCATATGCCTCAGGACTACCCCAAGGCTCCCCCCTCTCCCCAGTATTATTCATGATATACGCCGGGGTGATAACAGACCCCACCAACTCCCCCAAAGAAACCAACACCACCTATATCGACGATGATGCACTCGTACAACTCGCAAAGTCCCCCCTCTTCATCACCAAAAGACTCAATGAAAGAATGGCGGAGAGGGTCAAGAAAGCAGCACCCCTCAATATCAAATACGAACCTCAGAAATCCGACCTGGTCTTCTTTAAACCCACATCATCGAACACCCCAACTCCCAGAAACTCGGTAACAATCGCAAAAGAAGAAATCCAACCTAAAGATAGACTCAAATATGTTGGAGTCTGGCTGGACTCAAACCTCTCCTTCCGACCCCACATCGAAGAAATCATCGCCAAAGGCCTGAAAGCCCTAAGCAGAATCAGAAACATCGCACACCTCCCTGGGACAACGGTAAAATCCATCCACCACCTCATCGTCCAAGGCTTCCTCCCCACCATCCTATGGGGATCAGAGGCATGGTGGACGGGAGCCAACCACATCCTCCGATCACTATCCCCACTCTATAACGAAGCTGCCAGAATAGTAACAGGCCTACCCCGCTGGACAAAAACCGAAAGACTGCTGAAAGAGGCAGCACTCCCCCCACTTGAACACCTCCTCAACCACAAATCACGAAAATACGGGACGCGCATCCTTTGCCACCCTGCCGATCACCCACTCAACGAAGGACTTATACAGCTCCTCCCCACCAAGATAAAAAACATAAAAGGCACAGGCCTACACC